CTCTATTATTAAACGTAGGCATCAATATATATTATATACAGCAACTAGGCCTATGCAACTACTGTACAATTAATATTGGGTACCTCGTGTGCTGTCTCTTATACACATCTAGATGTGTATAAGAGACAGGTAGCAAGATATAATAATGGCATCGGTCTTCTTTTAAAGTTAGCATAGACTTGTCACCCCACGTTCACACAATGGAAAATGTCATGACGGTAATAATATGCAAATATCAGTACCAATGAGACGATATACGGTGTGCTATGAGATTATAAGCGAATAATTTTTAAATGTTCAGCCTTTTTTTTATCGTACCAAACATCGCAATTTTATTCATCCATGCTGAATATTGATTAACAATAAAGTAATATCGTATCGTATTATTAATAAGGCCTATATTATGTTAGCAGAAGCGGATACAGGATTTTTTCAAAGCGGGGCGGAGGTGGGAAGTGGGTCAGTGACGGATCACGTATTTTTATTCTGCTTTTCCTTATTTCAATATATGGCATTGGCATGTATTGAAATTGAAAAATGTAGGCCTAGTGGCAAAACGGGAAAATATACAAAATAGTGCAGAGTAGCATTAAACGAAGGAGGGTTGTTGAAACCACAAATGTGAAAACGCCCACAAACGTAACAACACATCGCCCACAAATGTAATAATGCCCACAGATGTAACAACCAACACCCATAAATTTAACAACCAGTGCCCACAAATTTAATAACGATCATCGTCTTGCCACAAATGATAACGCCCACAAATGTAACAACAAAACATGACATCTACGCCCACAAATGTAATTTTAATTTACTTTCGAATGTAGGAGCTAAGACCTACAAAATATTAACCCGTACATTTTGTGACAGAAGTATGACGTTTCGAGCGTTTAATCTATGAAGTGTGAGAAAAGTGAAAAGTCCATTTCTAAGCGTCTGGGAGGAGCCACATGTCAAATAAAGATTGTTATAGTAAATCATTATGTTCATTATGCATGCGGCAAAAATTGTTAATTCTTTAAATGTGATGGAGAACCTGATATGACAGCTTTCAGGTTATTTCAGGTCAAAGGTTATTTAAAGTCAAATGTTGGAAAACGTCATGATATAATATAATGGTGCATGTGGTTAAGCAGCTGAAGCGGGGCGGGGGGCAGGGGCCATTGCTCCCCCTCCACTTTTTCTACTGTGGACCTGCCCCCCCCCCTAAACTTTTGTGACTGTTCCCAGCACCAGTGACAAACATTTTACAAACGCTGCAATGCCATTATTATTATTATTATTATTATTATTATTATTATTATTATTATTATTATTTTGTGCTTAGGCCTACACCTTGCCTTTTGCGCCGTAATAAATTGACCTATTATTAATATTATTATAAAATAGAGATTTTTTTTTCATTTTCTAACAAAGTTTCCTTGAAACCCATTCTCGAGCATGAAGAAAAAATCGCCTGCATTCGTGAATTTTGTATTTAGGCATATAGGGGGGGGGGGTAGGTCTTAATGCTCTTAATGGAGCGACGTTCTAGTTTTCTTTATGCTAACCACGAAGATGTATAGTAAGTGTAACTGGCTGGCTTACAGTAAACCCGAAAACTAGCGTAATATAACCTCATTTAAACTCTATCTAATTTAACGAAAACAATAAGATACTTAATTAGGAATTTTTTTAAAATAAAGTTCTCTGAAGGTTAACCACTGAATTTCCAGTACACTTAATGTGTTATAGGTTGTAAAAACTGTATTAAGTAAAAAAAAAACTTCGCTTGACATTAGGAATTAATGATTTGTGAACAAAATGATAGGCTATGTCAAGTGTTATATTGAACAGTGGCAGATTCAGTGGGGAACCCAGTCAACACGGGACCCCATCCTCCTATTTTTTTTCGAAATAAAAAAAAAATGGAGAAAACAGACAAAGTTTTATTCAATTTTTAATCTGAGAGTGCCATTTCGGCCATCTAGAGGTGCCATAATCATAATGTTTTCTTACCTCAGCCCCAACAGTTGTGGGGCTGAGGCGGGTGGACATTCTATTTGCGCAAGACCCTCCCTGGAACCCCTCTATTTCGACATCCTGGACCCGCCACAGTATCATTTCCGGGCTTCATAGAAGGGTAATTTTTATCCATCTGGGGAAAAGTGAAGTTTTCGTCGGGGAACCCATATCAAGGATAACCTTCATGATAAATAATCCATTCAGGTCGTGGAAGCCATCTCGACTTTGTTCGGAAATCTGTGGCGCGTTTTAGGGGGGGGGGGGTAGATGTGTATAAGAGACAGAGGCTAAATTGTTCAATTTTTTTTAAAATGTAGATATAAGGAAAATTATATTCAAATTTTAAGTCTGAGAGTGTAAATTCCAGCCATCTAGAGGTGCCATAATCGCAAATTTTCTTACCCCAACCATGGTGGGACTGAGGTGGTATAGATTCTCCATCTGCTGAAGCACCTAGTGGCGGATTCAAGGGAACCCAGCCGGCCCGCCACTACCCCCCCCCCCATTTTTCAATAAAAAATAAAGATATAAAGAAAATTATATTCAAATTTTATGTCTGGAAGTGCAATTTCCGGCCATCTAGAGGTGCCATAATCACAAATTATGGTAGTGTATATCTTCTGTCTGTGAAAGTACCCTTCCTGGGCCCGTCTTTCGAATTCCTGGATCGGCCACTAAATTACAACAAATATAAAATCATATTACAGTAGCTTCATGTCTATAAAATCAATTTCACCAAACTTGGCGGCCCCCTGATTAATGAAATAGTAATACGTCCATGCAAAACCTGCTATTAAATAAAAACGTTATCTATTTGATTCTGTTTTAAAAAATAATCTTATAAAATAAGTTTATTTTCTGCGATAATTTTATGCACATGCATTCATGTTTTCAATGTTAATCTGGTTGATAAATAATATAAAAAAATTATTATTATTATTAATAATAATAATAATAATAGTAATAAAGGTGCTCGAAATAATGCTTTAGTGAATAATTAATAATACTTCAATAATGCTTCAATAGGCCTATTTACGATAGTGTGATTAATGAGATAATTGTTGATTAAGTTATAGAAATATAATAGGTAGGCCTATATACCATTAATAATGATTCAACATATTAAATCAACAATACGTCGTAAATGTAAAATTTCTTTGGTTTAATAATAATAATAACAATAATAATAATAATAATAATAATAATAATAATAATAATTTTACGATAGTTTGATTAATGAAATAGTAATAATCAGCATATTAAATAAAATTACGTCCATACAAAACCTGCTTTTAAATAAAAGCATTATCTATTTGATTCTGTTTAAAAAAATAATCTTATAAATTCTAAGTTTATTTTCTGCGATAATTTTATCCACATATGCATATTAATGTTTTCAATGTTAATATGGTTGATAAATAATATATATATATAAAAAATATATAATAATAATAATAATAATAAAGGTGATCGAATAATGCTTTAGTGAATAATTAATAATACTGCTATAATGCTTCAATAGGCCTATTTACGATAGTGTGATTAATGAGATAATTGTTGATTATCTCAATTTATATAGAAATATAATAGGTAGGCCTATATACCATTAATAATGATTCAGCATATTAAATCAACAAATGTATATGTATATATATGTATATGTATATATATGTATATGTATATATATGTATATGTATATATATGTATATGTATATATATGTATATGTATATATATGTATATGTATATATATGTATATATATATATATATATATATATATATATGTATATGTATGTGTATATATATATGTATATGTATATATATATATTATATATATGTATATGTATATGTATGTATATATATATAATTTATATGTATATATATGTATATATATATATAATATATATATTATATATGTATATATATGTGTATATGTGTATATATATATATATGTATATGTAAATGTATATGTATATATGTA